TGAAGATATCATTTTTGAAAAAATGATCTTTTGTCCCTTTTAACTACACTTAAATTTATTGGTATATGATTGAAACATCTTCGGATCTCTTTCAGTCGTCTTTGGCAATCTTCGGAAAATCTTCGGAAATGTTCGGAAAATCTTCGGAAACATTTGTCTGGCTTTTGGAGCAATTTTGGAAAATCTTCAGAGATCTGCGGAAAGTGGTCAGAAATCTTAGGAAAATTGTCACATTTTATATAATAAAAAGAGATTTACATGGCCGCACGGAGATACAAAAAGGAAAGAAACTGTTTTGAGTGTTCTGCAGTGATAAGCAATGGAGATCTTGGTCTGATGGACCATTTAAAGAAAGAGCATTAGTCTTCCGAGGTGAGATTTCATGTTTCCAGCAGTATGCAAAGAAATGTTTCCTTCCTGTCTTTCAGTTCTTTTCCTCTTTTTCTCTGGTGGATGTATGCGCGTGTGTTCTTATTTTTATTTTGGAGGGGTGGGGGAGGTTGGTTAGTAACGATTCCTTGGCTATACTGTGACATTGTTCCTTTAATGTTAGCAAATGATAGCAAATGTTAGCAAATGATAATAGATGTCTCGTCCGAGACATGTATAAGTTTGATACCTAGCAAACTACCCTAACAATTATTCCAAGATTATATCTGAAATTTTTGCTGCGTGCTTAATGGTTTTTAAATTCAATTCATTTTTCGTGTAATTAGAGAATCTTCATAACATAGCCCCTAATTATTATTATAATTATAATAATAATGATTAATTATAGTAATAATAATTAATAGTATGGGTCTTCATAGCTCAATTGGTAGAGAAAATGTGTCTTGCCCTCAACTGAATTCCAAAAATAANTGTTTCGAGTGTTCCGCAGTGATAAGCGATGGAGATCTTGGTCTGATGGACCATTTAAAGAAAGAGCATTGGTCTTCCGAGGTGAGATTTCATGTTTCCAGCAGTATACAAAGAAATGTTTCCTTCCTGTCTTTCCGTTCTTTTCCTCTTTTTCTCTGGTGGATGTATGCGTGTGTGTGTTCTTATTTTTATTTTGGAGGGGTGGTGGGGTGGGGGGTGGTTAGTAACGATTCCTTGACTATACTGTGACATTGTTCCTTTAATGTTAGCAAATGATAATAGATGTCTCGTCCGAGACATGTATAAGCGTGATACCTAGCAAACCACCCTAACAATTATTCCAAGATTATATCTGAAATTTTTGCTGCGTGGTTAACGGTTTTTAAATTCGATTCGTTTTTCGTGTAATTAGAGAAGTGTCAGTCCGCGTTTTCTATTGTATGTAGCTTCTTTAGGCTCTTTAAATAAGTTATTTGTTATTGTTATTGACAACTCAGGAATCATCGTCTTTAAGTTCTGAAGATATGGAGGAAAAAGAATTTAATAAGTGTAGAGATTGTGGCAAGTCCTTTTCAGCAAAGAGCAACTTAAGAAAGCACAAACGATTGGGTCGCTGTAAAGGGACCTCACAGGAACAAGAAAGGTAAGAACTATACCACGAGGTAATAGTAATAATAATAATAATTATTATAATTATAATAATAATAATGATTAATTATAGTAATAATAATTAATAGTATGGATCTTCATAGCTCAATTGGTAGAGCAAATGTGTCTTGCCCTCAACTGAATTCCAAAAATAATGGTCTACTAGGTTTGTTATTTAAGAGTATATTATGACGTCCAATCTGTTTCTTGTCGTTTTTTGCTACGGATGGCAAGGATGGAAATGGATTGAAACTTGAAAAAGGTGGGGCCAACCTTTTCAAGTTTTGATGCTATCTCAACAAAAAATAACAAAAACGTTATTATGGGTTGCTCTTTTTGATACAATCCATTGGATATCCATCTCATAAAACCACTAAGTAACGATTTTAGC